GTCGCGGATTCCGCGACGTATTCTTGACCCCCCCTCCCCATCCACCGTCTTCATTCCTAGACAGAGGCACCATCGAAGAACGCATTCATGGTTACAAAAAATAATAAAATCGAGGCACCCACCCGACACGGTTAAGCACTGCTCCGTACAGCTCAGGACGTTGCTGCGAGCAAGCAGCCACCAATAATCCACCATTTGATCCACCATGGATGGCCAGCCTTGAATGTGTATTTAATTGGATGAAGAGCAACATCTGTTCAGGCCATTTGCGTTTCAAAAAATGTTAAAAAAGTACGCGATCGTCACTTAATTAGTCACCTCATTAAACGAAAGGTCACTGAAATCACTAATCACTTCTATGGTCTAGCAGAGCCATCCTAGGGAATCGGCGCCATTCACCCTTTATCGTCTCACTTTTCAGTTTTCCGGGGGACGAGTTGACCTCTCCCCTTTGCTGAATCCTGCTTGAAATGAAAACACTTGGGGCTGACAATAAAATGCTAGATTAGCAGAAATCATCGAAGGAGCGGCTTGATCCCTACAACACAAATACGCATCTATTAGGTTGTTGCATAAGTTTTTCCCCCTGTTTTGATCCTTCCGTATTTCGTTTGCATGGAGGTTGGTATTTCGTCATCACGTGTGCGTGACGTGTACATGATACTCTTTCACCACACTAGCTATCACTCACCCACCCTGCATTTGCAGGCTACAATGCCGCACAATTACCAGTGCAAAACCATGTCACAGTGGTGATTGTGCGGCATTGTGGCCTTCTTCGGGTCCCAGCCCCCGTCCTTCTGGGACGATGGAATCGACAAGCTGCCTGAGCGTTGGCGTCGAGTAGTGGATGGTGATGGTGCATACCTCTAATCTTCAGGCTGGTTCGCTATTGAGATATTTACAAAAAAGTCGGGGGAAAGAACTTATGCAACAACCTAATATTTAGAGCGGAGTTCCACTCTTCATCCCTGGGACGGGGTAGGCGTGACATTTGGATCATTGGAGTATGGTGCTGGTCCCCGGAGTCTCATTTCTTATCTGAGTGTGTAACAACAATGTGAAACTCCAAAAGTTTATTCAAAAAGACTCAAAAGAATGAAATCCAAAAGTTGTTATAATATATCTTAACTTGCGATATTTCGGTGCGTAGCACCTTCGTCAGGCCTGAAAATATTTAGCTTGTTTTGTTGGTTATACCTTCTACAAAGTGCAACCCGCACGGACCCCACCCCCACCAAGCCACTTACCAGTTGTCCCGAAATAAATGACCAACCCACCCCAACCATGCCCTTAAATAGTGGGATACTTGTGGCGCGATCACATTATCACTTGCATGATGTCACGTAGCTCCTCCCGTTGTTTATTTCTGTGAAGCCGTTTTATTGTGGGCAGGAGCCTTCGCACATAGTTGTCCGTGTTCCATTGTGTTCTCCACTGAGCGGTGTAGCACTGTGATGGTTAATGAGGGGGGTTCTTGGTGAGCGTGTTCATGTGTGCGATGCCTGGAGAAACTGCTATTGGGGTAGGAAGGTGGATTCCCCAGCGCTCTCCGGTGTTCGTCGATCCTTTTGTAGAGGGGCCTCCCAGTTTCTCCCACATATTTTTGTCCGCATCCTTGACACTCCACCAGATAAACTGTTCCCCTGAGCTGGCAAATTTTGGAGTTGTTGCAGTAACTACAACCTGCCCTCCCACATCTATTTTCATAAGGCCTTGAAAAGGTAAGAAGACGTTTTAAATTTGGTGGCGGACGGAATATTAAACGTATCGGAAGTGGTGAGCACTTCACTATATTATTTACTTTTAAGGCTGTGTTTTCATTTAGGTAAGGTAACACCAAGGGAATTCCGTCCGGTGTCGAATGTGGTTTCCATGTGTGGGTGCGAGTGCTTGTATAACCATTCTCCTTTAGAATTCTGTCCATGGTGACAGAATTCTAAAGGAGAATGGTTATACAAGCACTCGCACCCACACATGGAAACCACATTCGACACCGGACGGAATTCCCTTGGTGTTACCTTACCTAAATGAAAACACAGCCTTAAAAGTAAATAATATAGTGAACGTTGATCACCATCTCGATACGTTTAAATATCGCGTCCGCCGACCAATTTAAACGTCTCTTCACCATTTTCAAGCCCTTATTAAATAGATGTGGGAGGGCAGGTGTAGTTACTGCAACAACTCCAAAATTTGCCAGCTCAGGGGAACAGTTTATCTGGTGGAGTGTCAAGGATGCGGACAAAAATATGTGGGAGAAACTGGGAGGCCCCTCTACAAAAGGATCGACGAACACCGGAGAGCGCTGGGGAATCCACCTTCCTACCCCAATAGCAGTTTCTCCAGGCATCGCACACATGAACACGCTCACCAAGAACCCCCCTCATTAACCATCACAGTGCTACACCGCTCAGTGGAGAACACAATGGAAAGGAAAATATTGGAGGCTCTGGAAATAAAACGGCTCTCACCAGAAATAAACAACAGGGAGGAGCTACGTGACATCATGCAAGTGATAATGTGATCGCGCCACAAGTATCCCACTATTTAAGGGCATGGTTGGGGTGGGTTGGTCATTTATTTCGGGACAACTGGTAAGTGGCTTGGTGGGGGTGGGGTCCGTGCGGGTTGCACTTTGTAGAAGGTATAACCAACAAAACAAGCTAAATATTTTCAGGCCTGACGAAGGTGCTACGCACCGAAATATCGCAAGTTAAGATATATTATAACAAACTTTTGAGACTTTCACTGTCTTTTGAGTCTTTTGGAATAAACTTTTGGAGTTTCACATTGTTGTTACACACCAGATTTGACATAGGGTTGGTCACCGTGGGATGTTTCAAGGTTGAGACACTGTCATCTTGTCGTTGGACGCATGACTAAATGTCTCAAAAGGAGACATTTCGCCCCCTAAGCGTACTACAGCCACCGCCACATTTAGTGAAGCACGCAGTCACGCCTATCGGGGATTTCGAGTATACCTGGCGCCAGAGGCACAAGCGCCGAGCCCGAGTAACGCTTCGCGACGGAGCTTGTAGCGCGAGAATCGCTTATCACGCAAAACGGATGTGATTATGGGGCGTCGAGTCCCGAAAAAAAAAAAAAAAAAAAAAAAAAAAAAAAAAAAAAAAAAAAAAAAAAAAAAAAAAAAAAAAAAAAAAAAAAAAAAAAAAAAAAAAAAAAAAAAAAAAAGAAATCATGTATCCAGGTCTACGTCTGTATGATTTCGAGAAAAACTATGGAGGGTTTTTTGATAAAATTGGGGCTTCTGTACCTGAAAACTCTACCTCTTACTGTTCGTGATTGTTCTTGATCAATACTCGGCCGCGGCAATGAAATCATCGAAAACGTTTTGCTTCTTTTCTCTCATTCCACCCATATGCCAGTTTTCGCCGTATTCGCTAGAAACAACCGAAATGTAATATTTACTTTGGTTGAGGGTTTAAAGAGATGTTTCGGAGAATATCGTACCTTATTCAGTTACAAAAGAAAAACGACGTAAACCGCACAGTGCGGTTTAAAGACGAGCAGTCTCCTTGAGCAGGAACCTCTCTTATTTACAAACTCCCGCCCCATTTTTTTGTGTAACAGAATGCATTAATAATCTTATTCGAAAATTCGGCAATATCTACTCATCTGCCCCAATCTTCCAAAATTAGGTCAGTCCACACTTTTTTATCCGCGATATCTGGCTGAAAATCTTTCCAAGGGCTACACAGGGGTTCAACCTCTTGGACACGGATATCATATCTGCTTCGCCCGAGAAAAACCAAAAAACCAAAAGCGCGCCCGGCACCGAAACATGCGCTGCCGCATAGACCTCAAATCACCAACTCGCTAGAAACTTGTCTGCAACGGTTCTTCGACCTCTGGACACTAATATCACACCTGCATAGGGTGCCGAGGGAGCTACGCGTAAAATAAGGAATGAGGTACAGGTGACAGCACGGTCTCCTGCGCAGCGCATGCCCGTGTCTCCAGTCGTTGCCCCTATGGAGCAGGCTGCAACTGATGGAAATAAGCTGGCGCAAGGCCAAAAAGTACGTAGGTAGGGACGCCCCTACCCGAAGTTCCGATAAGCATTCTGTCTCGAGGAACGGGGTTTTACCCAAATTTACTCTCCAAGAAAATTTCCAATTAAAGGCGGCTTCAACTCTCAATAAAGGGCATTTAAGTATAAAAAGTGCTAAAATTATCGCAGATGCTGCACCTCAATATTAGGGGTGACGTACCGCTAATAATAGAAGCGCGTATCATTTTTAGACAAAAATGCAATATCCAGAGTCTACGCTCACTGAAATCCATAGTGGATTAATCGCGAACGCTTCCCTGTTCACTTGATGCGCAAACTCTTTCTTTAGACGTGATAATCCTGTACACAGGTTCGGAAATGCGTGGGGAAAGAGCGACCCGCTCGCGACGAGGCCCCCCGCTTCAGCAACGCCCAGTTTTCATTTTTAACTTCTACTTGATAGTGCGGTTTTTCCGCTACTGTCTCACTACTACTACTATTCTGGATGGTAGTGAGGTGACAGGGGGAAAGGGCGCACCAACAAGTGACAACTCGTCGACCACGCCCTTTTTTAGCCTCATGTGTTACAATAACTCACCACTTTTGAACCTGGGCGTGCTTTCGACATCAAAGCACCTCACGTTTGCCTCACGCGGAGCCTTTCAAAGGTTTTTTTGTTTACTTCTTTTTTGTGCTACTTAGCATCTCGCCATCAGCGTTTCGGCCGCTCAACACACCACGTTTGAGCCTGGGCGTGCTTTGAGGTCAAAGCACTATTTGCCTCACGAGTATCGAAATCGAAGAAGTGATTACATACCTTCCGCCGCGAAGATTAGCGCAAGCAATGAAACCACGGAAATGCTTCGCCACCAAAAGACGACTGATGGAAAAGTATGGCATGTCAGAAACATTGAAGCCTAGAAAGCTCAATCAGTATCCAGATGGAGCACCAGAAATCAGATTGCTCACCTCCATAGCCATTCAGGATTGTGGGAGTGTCACCGTTCCTGGGCGCTCCTTTTAAGGAAATGATATACATAGGGACCTAAAAGGCTGAGTAATAGAAGGCTCGTACGCACATCTGCGTTTACCTCACGGACCTTAGTCTTGTCTTTACTCTCGTAGAAAATTTGTTCCACTGCGAAGTCTTCTTCATCCATTCCATGCACACGAACTCGTCGCAGTTCCTATGAAAATATCATCGAGTATATGTGATGGAAACAAAACAGCATTCAGGACTCATTCTGCAAGCGCGAATTGAGATTGCCGCTAGTTTGCTCATACTTATTAGAGGTAGAAGTACCAGAATAGCCATGACAGGGGCAAACTGACAGCTAAAAGAACTGACATGGCACTTGCAGGATCCGCTGGATCACCACGGACACAAAAGAACTGACTCGAACACTGCACGATGACTCCAGCATCTTCAGACAGGCAAGGATTGCACTTCTGCCATTCGAAAGTATTCGGCAGTGGAGTTGGAGGTTCGTGATAGCTCGCTATTTTTTCAAATTCTGACCGCAAATCGGCACACGACACGAATGCCGCAGCCAGAAGCATACAACCCGGGCATATGTGTACTCGTTCGCCCCTCACCTGTAAGTGGCCGTATGGCGTGTGATGCGGCTGTGGGGTGCGTATCGTATTAACCAGGGAAGTCCGCCAATTACCATGGAACTTTGAATGGAGACCTGGGTAGATCGATAGAGTCTATAAGGTTATTTACAAATATAGATAGCAAAACTGCAACCTGCATTTCACAAGCAACTTATGAGCAGGTAAAGTTTGTAATGGTGCAGTAGGGTGGAGGCTTGGTGGTGAGCTGTGAAGCATAAGCGAGGAATCGCATACGTCAAATCGAGTCGTGGTGGTTCAGTGGTAAGGTTCGACGTTCGACGACTCGATTCGTATGCGATTCCTCGCTTATGCTTCACAGCTCACCACCAAGCCTCCACCCTACTGCACCATTACAAACTTTACCTGCTCATAAGTTGCTTGTGAAATGCAGGTTGCAGTTTTGCTATCTATATTTGTAAATAACCTTATAGACTCTATCGATCTACCCAGGTCTCCATTCAAGTTCCATGGTAAGTTGGCGGACTTCCTGGTAAGCAACTAGTTGCCGCGCACATGAGAATTACGGGGCGCTACATGTCCACTGCGTCAGACCTGCGCACCTCACAGAGGGAAAGTATAAACCTCTCGAGTAATCGAGCAGTGTGTCCTCAAGCATCAAAGAGATTTCGCAGTCAGGTGGACCACTGCTACCGCATCCCAGGCCGCCGTAACAGCCTCCTTCACTTAAGCTTGGGTGAGCGTGGACCGCGCATACCAAGCAGATGAGGCAATCCAGAGGTGGATAAGATTAATAAGATAAGGCTGCGTTTATACTTTGCGGCAGTAGCGTAGCGTAGCGCTTCCAGCGTTTCACTAGCGTTTCGCTAGCGTTTGCAGCGGCGGGGCTAGAGAGTATAGAAGAGTAGGAGAGTACAAAATACTCTCCTACGCTAGAGAGTATCGAAGAGTAGGAGAGTATTTTGTACTCTCCTACTCTTCTACACTCTCTAGCCCTGCTGCAAGCGCTAGCGAAACGCTAGTGAAACGCTCGTGAAACGCTGGTAGCGCTAGATCGATACCTATACATCCCGTGCCCTCGCTACGCTGGCGTAGCGCTAGCGTTACGCTAGCGTACGCTGGTGACGCTGGGAACGCTAGATCGATATCTATCCTTTCCCCGACACTGCCGCTGGCGTACGCTGGAAGCGCTACGCTGCCGCAAAGTATAAACGCAGCCTAAAAGGACTGTAAACTAAGGAAACGAAATCAAAAGGGCGGAAATAGAGCAGCTGCAACTCATCGACTGCGGAATCTTTGCTGTTGGGCACGAATGCTGGGAGTGAGCTGTTGACACCAATGACACTCGTGGGAGGTCTAAGTGGGGTGTGGATGAACGCCCTCTCACAATATTCCACCAATGACGCTGGCAACACCGCCCGCCTCATGGGCCACGCACTGCCTTTGAGCATTCGGCACTTTCCGGGCACCTGCAGGGTCAAGGACGCATAGCTGAATATTCCTGAATGAGAACCAAATGCAGGGTGTCTTCGAGGAAGTTGTTTATGTTGTTGAATGTTCCCTTTATGATTTGTCAGTCAGTAAAAGATAGACCAACCTGTACTGCTGGTGCGACATTTTTGCCGACGGCTGCAAAATCGACACGATAAATGATGGTAGGAACTAAGAAGGACTCGAATCCGAAAAACATTTCGGAAAGTGTTTTCTTTCCAAAAAACCCGGAAATTGACCTGTAACGCATTGAAACAATGGTACGCAGAAAATACACACCCGATTCAAAATGAACGTCTTACCCGACTTTCAAGGGGATCGAATACAATTGTGAACCCGTGTTGAGATCATGTACATACAACGCATCCTGGAGCAATAAAAGTTTACTTATGAAAGGGGAAAATAACTGAATAATGTACGAACCTTCACGTCTTCAATATAAGAAACAACAAGGCGATCGTTGGCAACTGGTGTAGCCCAATTCAACTTGTGACGAGGATTTTCAGGTATGACTTCTTTAATTGATTTATCTTTCAATGAGATTCTAATTAACTTGAACATAGGAGCATTGTGATTGGTCTGGATCAGCATGGAATCGTCATCGTGATCAACGTACTGAAAATGATTGTTCCGAGGACTACATGAAGTCAACAGCGCAGTTCGAACAAGGAGGGGCAGCAGGTATTTCCGCTGATTCCCATACTCGTGTTCATTGCTCTGCAAGAACTGACAGGAAACCTATACAAAAGTTGACAAGTCACAAATCCCTACTTGACGGCTCGACACGACAGACAAGCAGCGAAAGTGCCAAAACCCCAACCCCCCCTCCCTTATACGAACTGCGCTCCCAAGTCTTTTAGTCGCGTAAACCTTCAACTCTGTATTGCGCTCTCTTATCTTACGTTCCATGACCACTATAACTTCACTCAGTCCAGCCTTTCACCTTGAAGTCCCACCCCCTGAAAAACCTATTCCCGGTTTACCACTTGTTCTGTCACACCATTCGATGTTCTGCCTGCGCTACAGGGTTCCGTGATGGGACCATTGAAAAGCATGAGCAGTCACGCAGCTGTACTGGTTGCACCTACGATATGCGATTAAACGTTTTCTAGTCCTTGATTCACAATTAAATGTTTGTATTAACTTTAGAGGTCCGGATACTGATGAGCTCCTAACAATAAGGCAGCGTTCAGACTTCGCGACGGCAGCGCTTCGGTCGCGCGTTCAACGCGATCGACGCAGTCGAAAGCATGCGCATCGATCGCGTCGAATGCGCGACCGAAATGCTGCAGTCACGAAGTCTGACGCCCCTACGACGTCCAGGTACTACAAGACAAGTGGCTCGAAGGCACAATTTACTACCTGGTGGGTAGCATTTCATATTTATGTGCGATGAGCAGGTCCGCGGCCACGCAGAGTGTATCATTTTGACACTTGGAAATGCGTGATGATCACAGCAGGAGTTCATCACTTGAGTCTGACCACCTCATCCGTAATATATGGATAACCATCCACTTTCGTTGCTTGCTACTGTCTGAACCCTCGCCTGCGCACATTGTTCACCTGCGCCTCTATTCACCACGCACTCGTCCTGATGCTCAAAAGAACTGGGACCTTTTGAGTGCTTTGACGAGTTCTTTTGCTTTTTCCTTCACTGGTATGCCAAGTAAAACAGATCAATTCATATTTCCACCTACAACTACGAATCGCAAACAGACCATGTTCTTAACACATTAGGGACCGCTTTCCTGCAAATATTTCCGCATTTTTTTCGTCACTTTCTAGATTGATCTGGACTTTACATGGAGGATAATTGGCAATTCATCCGTTTTTTTTTCGACTGAGATTCGCGTATTCCATTTTCCATCCAGAAAAGTGCTCTGATACCTCCAGAACATGAAATACATGCCTAATAGACCACATTGAACAGCACAGGAAGAATATTTGACACAGCATGTCTGTCACAAGGCCCGGAGCGTATTAAACACACCTTATGTAAACATTTTCTCAGTTGATTCAGAGCTACAAAGGTCCAAACTACCAAACCTCGTATTTCGCGTCCAATTTGTCGAATAGAGGTGTGGGATTAATTTTCCCAATTGGGCCGTTTGCAGAGAGATCATAGTAATACAGCATATTATACGGATCACATCCCCGTGAAACATCGATAATCAGGTAGCGGCCATCTTCTGTTACTGTTCCTCCACTGCAAAGTAGTCATCAACACCATTCTTGAATCTTTTTCGTGACGGATGACTGGGCGTGTGAGCGCGGCGGCGTTTGGCGCGGCTCAAATCCGTCTTCTTCCTTTTTTCGGCGAGCGACAAGACTACACCATGACATGCGTGTCAGTACCTGCTGTTTCACTTACCCAACAAATGGAGCAACAACTGAGTGTGGCGGCGCGCCCAAGGCAGCCGCACAGACACGCCCCTTCATCCGCAGCGAATTAGATTGTAAATGAGCCTGTGAAGTAAGAATTGTAAGCCTGTAAGCCTACATCATAAAGTAGCCAGCATCTCTGCGATCATATACAAGAACGTCGTCCTTGCAGTCAGTGCCCATACGATGGAAATAAAGCGAGTGGTTTTCGTGCTTCTCTACGGATGTGCCATCGATAGCCGTCTGAAGAGGTATTTGCGCTAAAAACACTGTCCAGGAGTATTCAAAGGAAGACTGATGTACCTTGTGATCGGGATATTTACAGTAGAATAATCCCGACTTGTCTTTCATCCACGAGAGAGAAGAATGTTTCACTCCTGTGATGGTATCCCCCAGATCTTTCTTATCTACACCGCGGAACTGAAACCTCATGAATATTACTTCAATGTGAAATCGTTCTAGCAGTTCTCCATCCAAGACAATCTGTACACTCACCCCTGAGGCCGTTCTTTTCTCTCTGTGAGCTGAATGAGTCTGCAGGTAGCGTGCTCTTCCTCCGTTCTAAAGTGCAGTGGCACTGGGCAGTGAGAGAGTGGTACCTGAGTGCCGACTCCATACTCCACTCCCGCTGTCCTCCAGTGGCTCTCGCATCGATACCGAGGTCCCGCAGCGAAACATTCACTCAGCGGTAGAGAGAAATCAGAAATGAGAGAGCGCAGAAAAGTGGCGCGTTTCGATATTGCTGCGCACTTGGCTGACCGCCAGACAGCTCAATGCGGGTGCACCGAAGTATCACTTCCCCTTCATCCCTGTTTCCGTCCACTTTTGACCGGAGAAAGTGGCACGCTACTGCAGCTGCGGGCTCATTCTCCGCACATACGGCAAGGATCGGAATCCACGGAGGTGAGTGTATAAAACAGTTCAGAGCGGATAACAAACTAACCTTCACAGTGACCCAATCACTACCCTTTTCACTTAAGCCGTATGCGAAGATCGAACCATCTTTTGTCCAGGCCGAAATTCTAAACAACTGATTGAAAGGTGGTTGCGACAAGACCCTGATTTCACTTTCTTATAAAGATCGTTGTAACAAACGTTTACAACAACAGCTGGCCTCCACAGCACCCTTAAGGAGTCACACCTACACTCCACGTTCCTGAAACATGGTAGACGTGACACCGCAGCTCAAGGATTTCGAGTATACTTGCCCGGATTCGTTCCAGCAAAATGTGAAATACCCATTGAGGAATTCACTTTATTCACGTAAGTACCAAATACCCGCTAGTGAAAAAAAATTGAAAGCACTAGTAAAAACAAACTTACCTTAAAAAGGTGGTTCCATCCGGTGATAACGTGTTCGGATCCAAGAATACCTCACCTTTTTCAGACACATTCCTCTGCTGATAAATAACGCTGAATATTCCAAGCATTATCGAGACAGCATTTCAACAGTCATTCGAAATTGGCGAAGACTCTTTGAACCTCACTATTGATTTTGAAGTCCGGAATTATAACTGTAGTAGTAGAAATCTCCACGCTTTGATGGGCAGCTGTATTTCTCATAATCCCACAACTCGGTCAACCTGATGATGGCAACATTCACGGAAGGAAGAAGTTCACGCTCGGAAATGTCTACCAACCGTTTTCTGATTTTCTCGCGGCTTGGAGCTTGAGCAATGAACGGCTCCGAGATGGCATTCAATTCATCAACAAACTCGCGCGTCTCGTCTGCATCTGGATCCTCCATCCAACGGTATGGATCTGGGACCTGAAAAATGATGAAGAACTGGGATGATGGCGCAACAAGGTGGGAGGAAGAATGGGGAATTCCCAGGGGAAAAAAGGGTGTGTTTCAGTAAATCGAGTCACGGCATCACAACACGGTCGCGTTCAGTGTAGTGGGTCCTAGCGCGAATGTTGCGCAGTAATACCGTTTGCAACGCCTTCTTAGTGGCATCTCGGACTGGAAATGGGGCTCAAACCAAATTCCCACAGTCTGAATATCATAGCGGACAAGATGCTTTTATTTCCTAGGGATGATTAGCTTTAGTAAACTAGCTTACCTTTTCTCAATAGAGCCGGATGAAGAAATATTTCAGATTTTAGGAAGCTGAACACAGCGGAAATTAGCTGACTGAGTGCGCCAGCCATTACCGATGACGAGTACAGACGGAAGAGTGAGTAGATAGTGCGCCGGCGTGTTGAGCCCAGAGTCGATGTCAGAGAGCGCAGAGGCAGTGGTGATAAGTATCCCAGGCTTCCGCCTTTCCATCGGCACGCAGTCGCAGGACCACTCACCAACGTGGACGTAGGAACGCCCCTCTGTCTGAAGAAAACCTGACTGTCACACCGCGCGTTCCTTCCACTTCTTTTACTTCTCAACACGTCTCCTGATATGTATTAGAAAAAGCAAAAAGTTCGATGACTGGACGAGTTATTCTACCAGTATGACATGTTGCACGCCGTGCGTGCGCTGTTTCTTCAGAGCGCGTTCATACTTTGCGGCAGCGTTTAAACGGCCGCCAGCTTTTTCAGCGATTATGAAGATCCAACGTTTCGAGCGTCTACCAGCGTGTTGAGCATCCACTATCGTTCTAGGCGTGCACTAACGTTTCCCGCGATAATCGATACCTATACTTTCCTAGTCGCTCAAAACGCCCAAAACGCTGCCAAAGTATGAACGCATATCTCATGCCAAGAGCAGTTCGATCGCGCACACGGCACACACCCCAAGACGCTAATGAAGGTGTACTGCGGCGTGTCAAGTCAGGAGATACTCTGCTAGTCTGAAAGATGCCGTATTTCGGATTCACTGAACTATAACGAGGCTGACAAAGTTGAGCGTTGATGAATTATTACAGCAAATTCAGCAACTTCAAAAATGTTTAGTGCTAAAACAAATCCAGACCCACCATAGTTCCGTGAAAATTGTCCACAATCGACTCATCACGACGGGGAGTTGGATAAACAGATGGATGAATTTGAATTGACGAAGAAGACGAAAATTTCATCCTATGCCAAACCGGCGTGCGACGAGATAGCTTAAATTGGTGCATCGCGCTACTTCAACTCTCTTGAAGGTGAAAAAAAACGAAACAGAAGTTAACATTCATCCCACGACTCATGCCAGGGTAAGGAGCTGTAAGTGCTCAGGTAGTGTGCAGACTTTGCGATGACGTGCGTCGACGCGATGTAACGCGCTGTAACACACGTCACTGCGCGTCACCGTCGAGTCTAAACGCTCCCTTCATGTGACACAAACAGTGGGGGTATTGTGCAAGCAAGGGAGTTAGTAGGTGGCGCTGAATTTACTGGTTTTCGGTGTTTCCAACTTCGAGGTGATGAATAAAGCCTTCCCAGAAAGTTCAAAAGATTTTACTGCTTCATCGTAGTCACTGAGCACATACCGCGCAACATATATTAGGTTTCACTGAAAGGGCCTAGCAATCGAAACATAGTGTATTACTGGTGTTCACAAAGGGTGCATACGAGAGGCGAAGAAAAGCGTGAGGAGATGGACCACTCCTAAGAGTGAACCGCGAAAGGAGAAATCGAAGGTGAAGGGTATAAAGGAACATCTAAATACATTGGTTAAAGGACAGAATTCTATCTAATGCAGCAAATTTTCAGGGGAAATGACCAAGCGCTAAGACTGAACGGAAACGGAAACAAGCGCTGAAGTGACCGAGGCAGAAAAGAGAAAAGGAGTGAGTGAAAGAAGGTGACTTTGGTAGTGATTTCGAAAAGGTTCTGAGGTGCCATTCGGCATTGGGAATGAGTGCGGGGTATTTCCGTTTTCGCAGCCTCAATAGTTCCGGTTTACACCCGTAAGTGACACCCGTCTAGCCCATATAGCCCATATACGATCCACCAACGTTCCCAATGCAACCTTACTGGTCAAAACAGTGAGGAGGCGAAGTAAGACTGCAAAAGCTTTCCGCATTGATCAATTCTTTGTTACTATGGGTCACGCATTATCCCAATTCAACTCACAAATGTATTGACTTTTTACATGCCATGAACTGTAAAAGGACTCAAAAGAGTGAGCACGATGCCTAGGAAGGCCTCTGCTGCCAAGGTCATTGTAGTAACGGCGGAGGGTGTACACGGCTAAGCCGGGCACGCATCGCGTTGTGATCATTTCCTGAAAAATACGATCTCCCCCCCCCATGCTATCTACCACTTTCCTGAATTTTCCCAACTTGCTACCATTCTTTCCGGTTTTTCCCCAAAATTCCGCTGTCGAGCGGAGGGACGACTGTCTCTCTCCCAACAACGACCAAACATACCCCCCCACCCTTTACAGCGTCCGTAAAACAATGGAAATCAATTATTAAATAAAAACTTTTTTCTCACACCAAATACGACCCCCCCTCTCCTCGCGGTCAAATACCACCCCCGCGGTGTTCATCACAACGATGGCGTGTCTGCCCACAGCCCTTCCGACAGGCAGCACCACTCCGTCCACCAAACGTGCCCACGCCCTTAAGAGGGCGTCGATGTAAAGGACACTATTTCATCCCTTCCACACAGGTATAGTATCAATCCCCCGGTCACAAAGGATGGAACACTTTGTCTGCCCCAGGTCGGAGCCAATACTGCGATCCACTCGCGGGTTACTGCCGACGCCTACAAACCGGTTCATCACTGTCCATGTAGAGTGGCATGGGCACATTTGATGCGCGTAATTGCAGTTGACCGAGAGGTTTGAAGGAGCGGAGTATTGGTGTTAAGGTACCAATTACATCAGGAAAGCACGAACATTGGGATGCGCCACGCATTCACTTCCATTAGCAATGTGACGACTTACAAAATGCTATTCGGTCCTCACAGGGGCCCACGGGAGGTACGGGAAATTGATTTAAAGGTCAACCACTCTATTTATCTGTACATCTGTGAAAATCTATAAATTAACCATCAAAAAACTTACAACAGATGAAGCGATGTTTAGAAATGAGAGCATGACTCGTCGCGATGCCGCAATACTGTTGACTGAGATTCTACACATATGCAATATGATATTTAAAAATACAACATGAAATTCGGGCACTATTTACCCTTTACTGCTCCAGTCTTCCGAAATCTGACAATTTTTGACCGACATCTTTCTTCGAGCGCGGACTCGGTTGATAAAGTGTACCCCTGGGGTAGTTTGACCTCATGAACACCAAGATAACACCCGTTCAGCCCGAAACACCTTGGCGCCCGCGCCAAAATACTCCGAATCACCAAATTCGCTAAAAATTTGTTCCCAAGAGCAATTTGACCTCTTCAATGGGAATATCACATGCGCTTGACCCGAAACCCTCACGCGCCCGCGCAAAAAACCCTAAATCACCAAAAAATGCCGAGAACTTGTCCTCGGGGCTAGTTTCACCTCCCGAACACGAATACAACATTCGCATGAGGTGCTAAGAAAGTTAAGGATGGAGTAAAGCGCGACCTGATAGCGCAGCTTGCTTCTGCTCGTCTGCACCCTTCCCCTAGATAGCGATTCCTTCCTCTTGCCAAGGCTGGGCCTTAATAAAGGGAAAGATCACTATAACTGGCAACCAGAGAGAAAAGCACTTGTCACGAAATCAACTGGAGCCCCGTGCTGCACGGGTGTTACAAGGGACGACTGACGGAGGCGTCATGCAATCTAGGACTCAACTGATGTGATATTTGTGTTCAGTTGTGTTCGTGGCGCAGACGACTGTGGGGGGGGGGGGTGCACCAAAAGTTTCCGGGCTGAGTGGATGTGATATTAGTGTTAAGGAGGTCATACTACCACAAGGTAAAATTCCCTGGCCAGGTCCGCCTTAGAGAAAAAAGTTGGTCAAAAACTGGCCTGATTTAGGATGACGGGGGCAACAAAGGGTAAATAGTGCCAAAATTTGTAAGTATATTCGAGACATATGAGGATTTCTTCACAACTGAATGATCACGAAAGACAAGCACATCGGTCCCACATAAACAAATGTTATCTGAGAGCCGATCTGACAACACAAATACGCACTAAGTGGCACGAAATGACTGATCGATTTTAACAATGAAAAGAGGAACCGACAGTAGGCCATTTTTCATAGTCAACGATAGCGTTACAGTTCGCGGTTTTACAAGGCCAAGTTAACCATTAAACCAGCCAGTATGAGCAACTTGATCAAACCTATTAGTCACCAGTCATTTCATCTAGCAATGTCACATACTATCATGAAAGACAGTGAAATCCTCGGGAGTGTCCAACACATTCCCAACTAAAAAAATAAGAAGACAGCCTCCACCCACAACCGGTTCGTGAACCTCCCTCCTTGTACCATGGTCTGGTCTGCAGTTTCTCAGACTGTCCCAAGGCGGCACCACAGAAGGTAACGAAGGAGCTACGGCCCTCACAAGGGGCAGTTCTGACGCCCCTCTAGCTGTACCACTCACCAAATCTCGAACGCTACTTTCTCTCACATTTCAGTTTCACACCGCGATTTCCGTTTTTTTTTCACTGTTGGATGGTATTAGCACTGGATGACGCGGAAAAACGATTAGTGAGCCAGAGCCGGGGGACACCTTTTTGCTGGCATAAAACCAGCACGTGCGGAAAACTCGTACACTGATGCTGCCAGAGGTTCCTGTATAGGGTGTTGATTAGGGTAGGTGTACATACGGTTGCCTTTGCCTTTTTTCCCCCGAAGAGTCGCTCAGCGACTATAAGTTTTGGTAATTGAACTGAACTACTAAAAAAAAAACTTAACGCCATTGTCCAAAGTATGCAATCGCGGGGTTTCTCTTAGAGGCAGGTGGCACGATAAATCCCCCAGACGTGTAAGAACAATATGCGGAGCAGGACAGAATTCGGCACCACTGCCGCTGCGTGACGCCTTTTCCAAGAAAGGTAACCCTATAGCGCCCCATCAAGTTGCAACATACCGGCGGGCGGGCGCCCACCGCGCCCGCTGCTCGCTTTTTAGCGAAATACATAATAAGCGAAGGAATTGATATAAGCGGCTGCGGTGCTGCACGGATATGAGAGTACATGGATGCAGCCGTACTACCGTAGAGGGTACTGGCACGCGAACCGCCCATGGGGAACTCGTCCGAAATTATTTTCTGAGTTGTGAACAAAGGTTTTGTGTGTTTTCAACCGTTTCACCTCGCTTTTTCGCCTTTTCTCCCACTATATAGCACCCCTGCTACAGTTTTAGACCGAGTACCAAATTATCGCGCCTTATGCCTCTAACGAAGTTACCAATTTCTGTGAACGACAAGCGAGCAACGTTTGCATCTAATCTAACCGGAGAAGACACACGCGGTCTCAAGAAGCTTCTGCTTCTGAAGGGTGACCTTCGATGTAGTGTGACTGATAAAAGCGAGAATCTCGTTGTTCTTGCACAACCAGTGCATAAAGGTCTTGGTCAACGATCTTTCTCGAATCTAGCACGTACGAAAGGTCATCGCGTCGAGACATCGTTTAGCAAACCCAATACATGACTACGCGAAGGTAAGGCAATTATAGACGTGGGGACAACCTAGCACCTTCTTCAAATACTCTCCACCTGCCAGCATACAGCCTTGTTCGCTGCAGATGGAGGGGCGTGTCAGGGCGATTGGGTATGGCATTACGCCAAACTCATTCCGCCTGACACGCCTCTTAACTCACAGCAAACAAGACTGTGCTCTGCATTGGTCAAAAGGCACCAGCCATCGTCAGAATACCTTGAAGCTTGCTTAGTTGTGTTAAGCGTTTTACCAACATAACAAAGGTTATGCACAAACAAGGAAAGCACTAAGAAAGCCATACAACGGAATGATCGAAACCGAACCCATGCATCGATACAAATTATAGAACAAATATAGTGTGAACCTCAATTGAACCACCGCATAGTAGACGTTTCTCAATAGACAGTAACGTCGATAAAACGAAACGATTTCTTGAGTAAAACATTCGTCCAGTTATACTTGAAATGCTATCACCAGATCAGCCGTGATTCATACCAATGAAACCGAAAATGGGGACAGAGCTTAAAAATTTAATTCATTAATGTGGAGCGAATAATAACGCCAGGTATAAACAGGGGCATATTATTGACTCTGTAAATAAAGAAAAAAAAAAACTCATACACAGATCCCAGCCACGGTTCGATACTAGCAAAAAAGGAAACTTCCAAGAGACGAGAGAGAAAGGTGAGCGTTGAAGGTGAAGGCGAAGCACCATACAGTATGCTAGTTGACACAATTCGCTATTTCCAAAGGGAGACGGGCACGAATCGTAATTTGCCGCTCCGCCGCGCGCGGCGATGGGCGCGGCGTTTTCTTAACTCGTGTTAACCTGTCGACTGGAGCACCGGACTTCATGTAGACCCCATCGTAGACATTCATGACTATTTTCGGTTCTGAATTGCCTGTTGTCGCCATCTACTACCTGGAACCATCGTCATTTGCGGGCGCGACGTCGCACGCGACGCCCACCAGCGCGGTGAATTACGATTCTCTTGTCACATACCCATTTCTCAAGGATGATTCCGAAAGGAAATTTCCAGCACACGGGGTAATAGAAATAAACAGAAAAGGTTAGGTAAAACTGACGAGATTAATTAACTGAAGTCTGAAGCAATCACCAGTAAAAGAAGACTTTAATTGAGGGAAGCTCAAAAGAGGACTTTGGAAAATAGCCAGAAAAAAATGTCTTTTGAAAGTAATGGGCACGATTACTCGAGGCGGTCGACTGTTGCCAGCGTCATTGCTGGGAGGCCTGAAGGATGGCGCTCGACTAAACTGCACAACGCCTTATGGGGATGTTGCCAACGCCCTTCCACCAATGACGCTACCAACAATCGTCCGCCCCCAGCAACGCCTCTTTTGACGCTCTTGCCGCAACTTGGATGTGCTGAACTGCACTCGAGAAGTGCATACTGAGAACACGAGAAGAGAGGAAAATCAGTTGAGGCAAAGGAAAAAGAACGGCCAGTTCCCCCGCAGCTACTTCGTACGGAAAATTGAATTTTGTAGGTCATGTCCCCATCTTCGGATCCGAAAATCATTAAGCTTTTGGAAGAACCACAGACGCTAACGTAATCTCGGGCAGGGGAGGGAGCACGCGTAGCATTCAGAGTTTGCTCGGCATGCCTATAACGCGCGACTAGTCGCCTGCGCTACGCTAACTGTGAGTGTGCCAGAATGTCCAGTGTTTCGCTTGCATAGTTCTTTCTGCCGACACGTACTCCTTATCCTTGAGATGCGATGGGCGTGGCTGCGTACCTCACTTGAACATGGAGTAGAACCGGTTTTTCGTGAGGTTTTCAATTTCAGATAACTCACACCTTGCTTTGGTTGAACAAAAACATGTTCCACAATGAAAAGATATCACTAAAAGTGCATTCGCCGTTACGTAGTCGTTAGTACGAGCTACGTTAACAACATCTCAGGGATGTGTAGCTTATCTAACCGCGAACCTATAGTTCTCTGCGGACGGTTGGGCGTGTCAGCCAGTATGAGTGTGTCACCCTATCAAAGCCGTTCTCTGCCTTCTTGTTGAAGAGCGTCTGCGACAAAAAGTGGTAGAAGACTAGTAATACGAAGGATATGATACAGTATTGTCACTTGCCCGCTTCAACAACTGGTGTAGAACGAGTTTGGCACCGCGCCAAGCGCAGCCGCACACACGCCCAACCGTCCGCAGCGAACTACACTATACACCAGATTCTCCGCGACGTGAACATTGGCGAACGGAAGAGAGATGGTCTTCTATGCCCAAACCCCTTTTCCTGAATTACGTTAGCGCCAGACCATGTTCCCATTTTGAAGAATATTGACCGACCGCACATAAATTTCAGTTATCTTCGCGCACTGACATTGCATTTAAGATTTCATGGTCGATCACCTCTTGAGCAGTCAATCAGAGCCGAACTACCTTACGTTTGGGGCATGCGAATATAGGGCCATGCGTCGTCGCGCGCGACAACTGCAAATTTCGTCTGGTTAGGATTGATGCACGCACGCGATGGTTTCGTTATCGCAACGGTGACATTTCTTTGCTATTTTTAAACGGGTCCGTCCTATCTTGACGGCACGATATAATTTCTGAAAATATATGTTCTCCAGAAAGGATTGTGACAGAGTGAAGAGCATGGCTGAAACTGAAGCGAACACAATCTTATTCAATAATTCGATGAGTTTATCGCGAGCGTGCACTTCATTACAAGCATGTGGTGTCCGCAGATCGCCGCGCACGCGACGCCGGTGGTCTTTAAGACCGTCTAGGTATGGCCCAAATATCCTGACGATCCACGCTACTTCCTATTACTGTACTGTCCCCCACAAAGGAAAGTATATTGGACGAAATTGAGACTCGCTGCCTGTCGGTCACTATCTTCAGAAGCATAATCATAATGCAAGCAAATATTACATCAACTACACAAAAAGCACTCAGGAACAGGACACTGACAAGACGACCATAATGTCGCGACGTCGCACGCGACGTATCGTGGAGCGATGCGTGCAACTTCTCGCCGTGTGCCATTTTGTCATTGGACTAGCGCTGTTGAATTTTTCCGTCCGTTTAACTTTCAAAAACGGGGGACGGACAAGAGAATCGTGATCCGTACTTCGCCGCACGTGGCCATGTACACAGCGTTTTCTTAAGTCGCACCACCCTTCGATTAGAGCATCGGATTTCATGTTTACTAAGATATAGCGGACATTTACGGCTGTTTTTGGGTGCGTTGTCTATTCTCGACCAATAGGACCTAGAGCCGTCGCCAATGGCGGACGCGACATCGCACGCGACGCCTGCTGACGCGGCCAATTACGACTTCTTTTGTCACATACCCTCAAAAACAAACAACCCGAAAATGCAACTCGACTGCCGAGCACGGCACCGCCCACCACCGCGGCACATTGCGATCGTCTTGCGGCATACCCTTAGAGAACAAACATGGCAGACAAACACCTACTGGACAACGACACTAGGAATGTAATATCATTTTCGCAGAAACGTAATAACCAGGAGAATACTGTCGTACAGAAATAGTTTATAGCACCACAAGATTAAAAGTCTCATTTCATTCTGAGTAATAGCTGTAATAGCACCTTGAATGGACATGGGATCCGTCGACTAAAAATGCATGCAACCGTTAATAATTAGCATATATGTTAGAAAAACAGATTCACAGGCATTAAAATATTAACATCAGTTGCTAAAGTAAAGTTATAGAGAAATAAAAGAACTTGCTCTTAGAATCCTGAAGAAAATTTCTGAATTGCTTCACACTTTCGTACAGCAGGAGGCATTAAAGGCAGTGGGCACAATTTCTAGAAGGGGAGGGGGGCGAGGGAAAGGAGCGGTTGTTGCCATCGCCTTCGGTGCAAGGGTTGCGATAGGACGTTTGGCCACACCCACCTAGCTTTCTCACCAATGACGTTAAGGCCGCGTTCATACCGTGCGACGTCGACGTCAACGTCGACGAAAGCTGCGTAAGCTGCGTAAGTTGCGTAAGCTGCGACTGGTTCGTGAATAATACATACGTATCGATCCAACGAAAGCTGCGTAAGTTGCGTAAGCTGCGTAAGTTGCGTAAGCTGCGTAAGTTGCGTAACCGACGACAGCTAACCGATCGATACGTATCTATTCTTCTCGAAGTTGTCGTCGGTTACGCAACTTACGCAGCTTACGCAAATTACGCAGCTTACGCAACTTACGCAGCTTACGCAACTTACGCAGCTTACGAACTTACGCAACTTACGCAGCTTTCTTTGGATCGATACGTATGTGTTCTTCAGTCGCAACTTACGCAGCTTACGCAACTTACGCAACTTACGCAAAAGACGTCGCACGGTATGAACGCGGCCTAACGACAACCGCCTGCCCTCAGTAATCGTGTCCACAACCTTGAAACAGCTTAAATTTGCGCGGTTCCTGAGCTCAGGAATTAGGACCGAAATGTTACACAACACAGATAGACGCCAAAAGATTTTTCCAGAATGATTTTTTGGGCATGTCAGCGTCGTACAACTTTTCGGTCTTCGAGGCCACGTTCAAAGCGAACGTGGAGAATCCGCGAACTAGGAGGACGCGAGTTTTTCGGGAGCCCCTTCTCGACACGTGAAAACCCCACTCTGGAGGGCCAAAATTTTTCTCTACCTAGGTGTAAACTCCAACTAACAATTTTTGACCTGCTGAAGAGTGTAGATCCAATGAAAAATGGGATCGATTGCGCGGGCAGGCAGCTCACCAAAATCAGCAAAGAGAACCACCTTTTCCCATCTGAACTTTTTTCCTTTAGTTTGCCAGATTCGAGCATTTACCCAGTTTGTTGATGGGCGGAGCCAATCGATCGCATGCTCCTAGCTCGCAAACCCTCTGAATTCTCTTCGTTCTGCACAAACTACAAACGCGACTTGATGAGCAGCCGCAAACAATGTAGAGGTGATAAATAACACAAAAGAGAACTACACAATTTCCTACTCTAATTACAATGTAATTATAAACTTCTATAACTAGATCACATCTCTGAATAATCACATGTACTTATTAATTATCCCATCTCAGAGCTCAGGCACAACTTTAAAACATCAAATAAATAAGCATAGAATTATGAGAATTTTAACAAGCTGACCAGATTACTGGGATATACTCATCTCTACGGTAGGTCTAGGAGTGGACACCGGTGATGAAGCGTTCATGCTCCCGCGGCGAACCAGCTCTTCCAAACGTCGACGAGCTCGCTGTTCTCGGTCAAGGGCACGATTCATAGACGCAAGTTCCTGGCGTAGACCAGCCACTTGGTCCTTTAACGCATACACCGTATCCACCAGGCTCCTACAACACTGCACAATACGGAACTGCCACTAAACTGAGGATAATATAAAGTATTAAATGTTGGAACAAAAAAGCGTAAGGGATTCTTTAGTGAAGCGATTTCTTCGCAGTTTTGAGCAAAGCGATCACTACACTATCCCTGACTTCATCGGAAGCACCGTCCCAGGTAGCCACGCCACTTTTTTGCTGCGAACGTAATTTACATCCATGTTACACTTATTGCACCCTATGAATTCTATTTACTCCAATTTTTCACAATTTCACTATATCACGCATATGCACATTGAATGGACTTTCATATAGTAATACACTTGATCCCGCCCATTTGCCGCCTTATAACCTCATCCACCGACCTCCTTTTTCAGTGGACTTCTCACATATATAACAAATAGAGTGCAATTTTTAAACAACCTACACTAAGCTCCTCGCCTCGACCAAGCCCTTTTTAGAATATTTTTAGGTTTTTTTCTTGCAAAATTTCGTCGTTCAAAATGTTAAGAAGGGTGGTAGAAATCAAACCATACTTTTCCTGAATGATAATCTCATCCCCAACAACTTCTTCGACTAGAATCTTTTCATCTTCAGCTACTATCAACTGTGGTGGTCGACAGTCTGAGATGAGAGGAGCAGCCCTCGCAGCTCCGCTGCAGTACGCTTCAATAATACGTAACAACTGCGCATCGTGTTGCTCCCCAACATTTACTGAAAGAGCAATACATTATGAAACCACACAACTCAACCTTCTGTAGTGACTAACCCTCCTTTCGCATTTTGACATTCTTCTTTGACGTTGCTGGGCCCGTCAATACATGACGATGAGGAGGTACTACACGGAAGCACATCTTCTTACCGGTATCTGGAAGCATGGTGATAGAATGAGTCCCTTAGCCGGAAAACTAAGTAAGATGGGAAAATTTACCATTAAGAGATCGGTGATTGGAAGAATTGAGGTCCTGCTCTTCGGCATCGTCAGGCAAAATCATTTCCAATTCGTGATTCAGTCGAAGGTCATTGTTTCCAATACTGAAATTTTTGGAGAAATTGCTAATAACAGCTTGTCAGGATAAAGTTCTTCGAAACACTGATAAAGATTCGCATAGATACGTGCGCACACCAGCTACGCTAAGAACATAGAGTCAACGGGCACGACTGCTGGAGGTGGGCGATTGCTGCCAGTGTCATTGGTGGAAAGGATGCGAGAGAGCGCTTGGCAACACTCCCACTCAGCCTTCCCACCAATGACGTTGGCGACGAATCCCGCCCCCAGCCATCGTTCCACTGTTTTTAAAAGGTTCTGTACTGAACTAAGGAAAAAAGATAGTACGCCAAACATGCAGCGAACTAGTTTCTAGAATATAACTCACGAAGCTTTTCGGCCAACGACGGCTCGCTCAGCTAAGGGCATCTCTGATATATCTGCTTTGCGGGAAGGAGACAGCATATGCTATAAAAATTATACAAATACTCACTATAGACTGAATCAAAACAAAAAAATAATGAAGGATAGGTTGTACGCTCACTTGCGAGATGAAGCACAGCCATTTGGCAGGTGCTAGTCTGCAACTGCACAAATGTGGCACCTTCATCGTTCAAAAGTGCGCGGAAAAGAAGCTGGAAGGTTGCGATTGCTAGACGCCGTTTTGGACTCCACCAGCTACCCACAACATGCGGCATGTGCGTCGATGCCGGGGTCCCGCGGCGAACAACATGAAAGGCAAGCTGACTAGAACAGCAGAACGAGAACAGCCAGAGATGAGAGGACGCGGACAAATAGCGCGTTCGGCTATAGTCACGGCTACAGGCGCGACAAAGCAGAGCGTACACGTGTGCTAGTCCTGTGACACGTTGCGTCCGTTGCTTTGCTTGGGGGCGGAATCTGAAACGGCACCTAGCTACCACTACCCTCCAGCTTCATTTCGATCAGCGGCAAAAGTGGCACAATTATACAGCTGCTAACCCGTTAACCTCGCACATGCTTAGAAGCGGATCCCGAAGGTGAGCGTACAGCGTAACATCAAAGACCCGGATAACATAAAGACGTCTTAACTTTCAGGAAGAACCCCATCAACATTGAAAAAGCAAAAGAAAGGTCAATTCCCAAATAACCGTCGGTATTTTACAACGCAAGTCCAGCAAGAGCGATGAGCAAATGTTCTAGAAATAGTAAACATACCATATTACTAACTGCATACGATTGCGGTACTGCAGGTGGCGTTAGTATTGAGCAGTCTTCGATCACTATGCCCTCACGTCTCGCGAACGCTTCAAGCCATCGTTCCAAATCAAAGGTAGATGAAATAGAAAGCTCCATATCTCCTGCAAAGTCGACGTATACAAAGTTATAAAGCTGCATCCGTACTTCGCGACAGCCCATCAGCGAAAGGCAGCAAACGCCAGCGCCAGCGACTAGGAGAGTATAGTCCGATATGACGAACGTCGGCGTCCACTTGCGTCCACCAGCGTTTGCCAGCGTACAGCAGCGTCCAGAAGCGCAGAGTATGTGGAAATAGGAGGTAGCAGACAGCTGGATTAGTAGCCGTAAAACTGTGGCGTGTGCAACTGCATCGTATAACGGCTAAGGCACGTGGCACACGCACTTTCATGACCCTAATACAGCTACCTGCTACCCTCCCTTTTCCCATACTCCTCACTCCTGGATGCTACTGTACGCTGGCAAACACTGGCGAATGCAGGCGTTCACTAGATCGATATCTATACGTTCCTAGTCGCTTGCGCTAGCGTTCGCTCGAAACGCTGCCGCATCCTGGTGGACGCTGCCGCAAAGTATGAACGCAGCAGGGTATCGATTGTTTCTGTTTTGGATCATAAGTTACACAACAAAAATTCCAGGTTTCAAATTGATCCTTACGGACGAATCAAACGAAGAACTGACCAACAATCAGACCACCCCTGTTCTCGGAGCAACGAACTCTCAAGTTATGCGTAGAGACTTTTCGCAGTAATCTGTATGAATTGATGTCCAGTGTAATTTCGAGAACCATTAACATTTTTGAGAATAATGCAAGACATCTGAAACAAAATGAAATACATAAAAACAGTCAAGACGTTACTGATTCTATATGTTAAATACAAACCTATCGTCACAAACGCCATCATATGTTAGTGGAACCACACTAACATAGAGAATACGACCCCGTTGCTCGAACGAAGCCCACCCCTCCACTAAACCAGTGTAGAGAAGCTCGAGCTGCAGCTCTTTCTGCTTTCGGACCGCTTCACACAAGGCCTGCGAAAAGTAAATTAGAAAAAGTCCAACTCCTCAGCTAGTGGAAGCCAAACATACCTTCATCTCCTTGAACACAGCGCACGAACGCTGAACATCCCCACGATCAATATGGCCTTCCTAGAAAATCGAAAGCTCAATAAAGCGCTGGCAGCGCGATTACTATGAGCAGGATCACAGTGGCTCATTCACTGAATCTAGCTGTAATTATCCTTTTACGCCTTATTTTTTTGAGAAGTCCCACCGTAAAAACCGATCGTTTTAGTTCTCTTGCAAACATTAAAACTGAATAAAGAATACACCGAGATCTAACTCTCTTCAGCTAAGGCTGCGTGCATACTTTTCCGGTACAACGGCGTACGACAGCGTTTCGAGCTTATGCCAGCGCTAGCGATTAGAAAAGTATGGATATCGATCTGGCAAACGCTAGCGTTTTCGCGGACAATTTGAGCTTGAGCAAAACTGCCTGCGAAAGCGCAGCTGCATGCTTGCACCTGACATCGCTAAATCAATACTTACACTTTCCCATTCGCTGGCGCTTGGCGTACGCTCGAAACGCTGCTGCAGGTCGGCGTAGGCTGACGCAAAGCATGAACTCGAAAATCGCTTGTAACCATGAACTACTATGCACTTGCTGGAACCAGTCAGGGATTCTGTGGATTACCTCACTGGAAGGACTGTTCATTAGTGGTTGCTTACAATCCGACCCTAATGATCCACTACTGCAGCGGAATTTGAAAGAGATAACCTTCCCATTCCAAGAACATTTTCCAGGACTAGCAGACTGGTTAAGTTACCCAACCAAGTGGTATCGATCAGCCAAGACTCAAACACACACAAAACGTTACAACACAACCGCGGCGACTGAAAGAGGACTGGTTTCTGACGCCTCTTTCCTGCTATACAAGACTGGGCACTAGAGGTGAGCAGGTAGAGGCGATCGGCTTGCGGAGCTTTGGAGAACATGAATATGGACAGCGAAAAGTCAAAGAAAACACGGCTCCGTGCACTCCTACTCGGTTTCGCAATGCTTCCTGCTCTAACATACGCCTCAGGTTAGCGTCTTTTAACGCGTCATGGAAGGGGCACGCCCGGAGTTCCTCGCTAAACGCAAGTGAGAGAGAGAGAATCCAGGGTTCCATACTCCTTCGATTATCGAAAATCAGGGGCGCAGCTGCATTTGTCAAGGTATCGAAAATCAGGTGGGCTGAGCGCGTCATGCATTTTGGAGGTAAGTTCTAGACTAGAGCGACCACCGCTGGATTTTCGGCATGCCGGAGGAAAACCTGGACGACAGCCTACGGGATGGTCAGAGTTCCTTGAGCAAGCTCCAATGTTCATCATGTCTCGAAATCTGAATGTGTAATAACAATGTGAAACTCCAAAAATTTATTCCAAAAAACTCAAAAGACAGCAAAAGTCTCAAAAGTTTTTAAAATATCTTGCGATATTTCGGTGCGTAGCACCTTCGTCAGGCCTGAAATTATTTGGCTTGTTTTCGCTTGGATATAAGGTGCATATCCAGATTAAAACAAGCTAAATAATTTCAGGCCTGAGAAGGTGCTACGCACCGAAATATTGCAAGATAAGATATTTTAAAAAACTTTTGAGACTTTTGCTGTCTTTTGAGTTTTTGGAATAAATTTTTGGAGTTTCACATTGTTATTACACATTCAGATAAGAAATGAGACTCCGGGACAGCACCATACTCCGAGTATCAAAATGTATTTGAACCTTTCTTCGAATAAAGAAGGTCAAGCCGCAAAAGGGCAGAGCACTATTCCACACCTAGGAAAAACCTTTACAGCGACCCCTTTCAGACGGCCGCAACCATATGAAAAGCATCTCGAAAACTCATGACCAATTCGAAAAGGAGCACGCGCTCGAAGCTGCCCACAAACCCCGGAGGGTTTCCCTAACCACATCGATGTACACCTGTTTGGTTAGGCTGTAAAGGCTTGTAACATTCAAGCATTTTGGGAAGAAAAAGAGAAAAATAGTAAAACATAGCAGTCAAATAGCAGAACTCACAGGCATATTGCGTTCCAGTTCTTGTAGCACTGTTGGATACTTATCGAGATGTCGAAATGGTTCACTAAGACCAGCAATCAGGCTAGGGACATCCCTACCATGCTCGAGTAGTACACTCCTTACCGCATCCCTGAAACATCCCACACTAGTAGAAGGCGACCTAAGAGAGAAACTGTTTGTGGATGCAACTCTAGAATGACTTGTGCTGTTTGATAACCCCTAAGAGAAAATCGGTTTCTCTGAATTCACCCTGACATCGGAAAACGAGAAGCCGATTGACTGTGAAAATACGAAGGAGAAAGCTAGCAGTTCTTGTTTTGTTTTTTTTTTTGTGCCAGGTAGGTGTTTAGGGGTAACTCCTTACTAAACTTGCTGACGTTTCGACGGATCGTCGTCCTCATAGGCCTAAACATGGCTCAGAGTTTAGGTGTTGCACCCACTGTACTGCCAAACGCATAGACACCCTAGGGTTTTTGACGGAATTTCAGAACTACAGAAAAACTCAAATGGGAGAAACGAGTTCACCAGTCCAGCACCGCAGGATTGGAACAGCGCCACACGCTGTTAGTTGTAATTGGTTAGCTTACATAATTGCAGTTCGGAAATCGTTTCTCCTATTGGAGCTTTCCGGGACGCGCTTGGCGGTATGAAGGGTGCAACTTCCAAACCTTGAACCATGTTCAGGCTTCCGAGTACGACGCGTAGTTTCTGAAAGTCAGGCCAGATTAACAGAGAGTTTTACGTAAAAACGTCTCAAACACAACCCAAGAAGTGTAAAATTAACAATAATGCCGAGGTTCTATGGAGAAAAAAGCCAGACACTAAAAAGTATGAAGCCATCGCCGTTTCCCTTACAAAAGTCTCCTTACGTGAAAACGACTAAGTAGATCAATTGTGTAAATATTTATATAGGAAAGTATCAACTGATTGCCTTGGTCGGCCGGTTTTCAAACGGTTGGAATAATATTTCAAAATCAGGCCCCTATTTCATTCACAACTCATCACATAAAAATTGCAATTGAATGGAAGAAAGAGCACGATTAAAAAGTAGATGTGAAATGTGTGTTCTTACAGCAGTTGTGGCGAAGGGCAAAATAAGCGGCTCAGCTGGGAGACAGTGTAGGTAACCTTCCCCCCCCCCCATTTCGACAGTTTCTCAGAAAAAAGAAAAATTCGTAGAAAAGAATCAATATAGTCGTGAATGAAAAGGTTGCTGTTTCTTGGATATGATTACGTAGATCATCATTTCATCACAAACCGTACCAACTACAGTATTGTTCGCTGCGGATGAAGGGGCGTGTCAGGGTCAGGCGAGTTTGGCGGGCGCCTAAGGCATTGTTCACAGATTGCGACCCGGCGGTTGGGAGAAAAGCAATAAATAGTCATCGATCGGAGAATCGCCCAACCGTCCAACCGCCGCGGTTGGGCGGTTGGGCGAAAAGCAGTAGATGTGTATCGATTTCGCTGGCGAAAAACGCCACCGCGATGGAGCTAGCGTTTTGTCGAAGGCGAAAAACGTCGCGGTTTGGCGAAACGCCCGTCGATACGTACCAAAACCCTTTCGCCCAACCGCCAGGCTCTTCGCCCAACCGCCAGTCGATATGTATCGAAAGCTTTTCGCCGAACCGCCGCGTTTCAGAGAAACGCTGGACCGCAGAGTGTGAACAATGCCTAAACAGCTTTCCACCAGTTGTCGAAGGGGCAGGAAATAAGAGCGCATGATATCGTTTGTAGCAGTGCTTCTCTACCAGTTGTTTAAGTGGCTAAGCTACCATTCTCCACCAATTGTTATCTCTTAGCCGCTTAAAGAACTGGAGGAGAACGGAAGTGGCGCAGCGCCAAACCCATTCTACCTGTCACGCCCCTTCATCCGCAGCGAACAGGACTTTATATCAACTCAAAGGAGCTAATAAACGAAAAATATAAAATATTTTGTAAAAACATAGTACAGAAAAAGAAGCAAGAGAAACTGACATCTTCTCGTTCATCACTTCCACTGCTTTGGGATGATTTTCACAATAGGCCACTAGTAATCGTCGAAGTTCTGCGGCGCAAGATATCAAAATACCACCAATTCTTTGTTGAGAAACATCCAGGCTAAATAAATAAAGTAGAAATAGTGATCGGTAATGAAGAATTTGAACTACACTACTTTAAGGCATCCTTGAGACGGTAGAGTGTAAGCCTTTGTAGGGCAGCTATATCCTCGATGTAGCACGACAAAACGGAGTAATCCTCAGGCGACAGACTAAAAATCCGAAAATTAGCCCTGGGATTTGTTACGGTGTTATTGTATAAATAAGACGCTCACATGCCTGCCGCTCTAATGGGCAGCAAAAGCTCTTCATGAGTTCTCTGCACGCTAGCCACATAGGCCTCTTCGGATCGTATAAAATCACGCATTATTTCTGCACGAAATTGAGAGCGGGATGCGTTGGAGTTGACCACGTCGCCGCTTACTGAAATCAAAGGAAGTCAATCGTATAAGCTTGGGCTGCCTTCACGTTTTGCGACGGGACCATAGGAGGATATGATAATTCGATGATTTGATCGTTGATCTGTATCCCTTTCCCCGAAAAGGCTTAAGCACAGGGCGCAGACGACCAGAATCGCTTAGGGAGCGTTCCGTAGGGAAGACATAGTCACAAACAATGGTCATAGTCACAAACATTGGAGAAATGCATTTGTATGCATTT